TTAGTGAATAACCACGAAAGTCTTAAAATCTATATTTGCTTGCCCAACTCTAATGTATATTTCGAATTCGGGCTGGCTAATCGGAGCGCAGTTGTCACCAGTTGTCATTTGGCAGAATAGTTTTCTAACAAAATAAATCACATTTCGCCTCTATTTCTGATTATATACCCGATGTATAATTCAAACTTTACAGCCGTTATATCGTTGAAAGTTCAACACCTTTATTGCAAGTTACGAAATTTTTATTTTATATTGATTTTTTATTCAATGTGCTGCCATCTTGCGGCCAGTAACTGGACTACGACGAACGACTAACATCTGAACGAATAGAAAATAGTATCTTCTCTACAACAGATGTCTTCTTTAACGCACACATTTCGTAATCAACTCTATTTGGATCAATTAAGTTTAAAATTAACAAAACACTCATGAAACATTTTTTAGCTAAGCTTTTGTTCGCTACTAGCGTGGACAATTTGGTGCATATGTGTACTTAGTTCTCCAAAACATAAAACGATCATACTGCATTGGGATAACGGTACTTTCGTTTGTTACAATTTAAAAAAATCAATTCGATAAATAGAAAATTTATTAAAATAAGATAATGTTTTTGGTGCGGCTATCATTTTTGCACTCCAAAACAGCACAATAAGGCATTTTTCTACGATTTAAGAGAATTTGCGCTAAAAAGAGACAATACAAGCATACAAAACGACAATGGCGGACTGAGCTCAAGTACGCGTAACTACACATGCAGTTGACACGCATGCTACGCTTACTTACCACTTCTATTGTATTTATTGTTCTGTGTTGCGGCCTCACGATTCGCACTAAGCATTACGCTTTCACATTTAATATACCGTATGGCATTGAAGTGAAATTCCCTGCCTGCAGATTTGTTTACTGAACGCTATAACTTGGGCCTTTTCAAGGCGAGAGTGAATAGCCTTTATATAGGTATACATGCTCCATCATCGACCCCATCATCACTTTCCATCAGATGAGATAGAGGTGAAATGCGCACTTATGTTATTATTAAAAAAAATCAGTTATAGATACAATATCAGTACAGATAATATAACAGAGATTCTTAAACTCACCCGCGCGGTTAAAACTGGATTGGTCTCTGAGGGTGATTGTCCATAAGAAAATATCTCCCAAAGCGTAGTTGCAAACGCCCAGATGTCGCCCACCACCGATCGGCTCGCCATGCTCATGTCTCCGAAGAATTGCACTGGCATCCAATGGACACTGGTTGAAGAGACAGAACGCAATTAGAAAAACAAATACGTGCCAAAAAAGTTACTTACGACTTAAAAAAGATGGCGTTAGTTGTTGTTGGTTGCATTAGTTATGATTATCGAAACAAAAATGAAACAAACACAAAGAAAAATTCCTTCAATCCAACTGAACTCGAACAAGCGTTTGCTTGCCAAACCGAGGCCTACTACTCTACCAACTGAGTTACAGATCGAGTCAGCAAAACTCACGAATTTCTTTATGTGTTTGTTGCGATCTTTGCCACCTGTGAGAAACTTATGAAGTTTTGTTTCACTCAGTCAGGTACCTTTAAATCTAAGCGGCTGCCAAGAGATGCCGCTAATAATTGTTGTAATAGTTCAATTCGTTTTTAATTCGTAAGGTATGCTGACATCGATTTGTAACTCGGTTGGTAGAGCGGAGGTCAGCGCAAAAAATTAAAGTGGTTGTAATATCATATAACGTAATTTGTGTTTATTGTATTGCATTTAGAGCTACCGTTCTTAATGTAAATACCGCTAATACTCACTCTTGTGGCTTGTACTTTCTCAGTGTTGGCCCAGAGAGCTTCACAATAAGGCGATCTGCGTCGGCCACCAGCAGTTTGTTGCATCGTATGTAGCCATGGACCACGCCTGCTTCCGACAAGTCGTACAACGCTCTGGCGAGGCCAGCCGCCACTTTCTTAAGTTGCAGAGTTTCAATATGTTCTTCGTGTTGCCTACAATAAAGAAAAGAATAGTATAGCTACTGAGCAATAAAAAAGACGGTGAAAGTTAAAGTACAACGAATCAATTTGTGATGTATAATAAACTTGTGCAATAGAAATAACACAGACTCTATTAAAATCACCTGAGGTATTCATCAAAGGGGCCCCAAGGCAGGTACTCCAACACCATGGCAGTGGGCGAACTGAGAGTTACACCATACAGGCGGACGATAGAACTCGACTGAATGCAAGCCCATTTACTCGCCAACTCTACGAAATCCTGGTGACACGAAATAATTAAAAACATTTATAAAAATATCTGGAGGATTAATTTTTCGTGGTGCACATATTGGCAGACGGTCGAAGATTCGCCTGGCGGTTGCATATGTGCGGCAACCGACGTCTCTATACTTCCTTAAATAAAACTAATGATTGGCGTATGATAGGTAAGCTGTAAATACTTTAGCCACTAGATACTCGTGAGCTTGAACGTTACAGATATAAAAACAGACCCAGGAGTAAAGACAAGCAGAAGAAAAGGCAATCTATGTGTTCTACGCACATTTTATGAATGATTTTACTCCGTTTGAGAATATTGTTACTTTTGCATGTAGGTACTTTTTTTGCATCTCTACTCTCTCAACCTACAAAAATAGCCATTTATCAGTGTTATGTCAATTAAACTTGTCGTAATCAAACGAAAAAACTATCAATGTGTTAAGGCGATGCGTATGACATACATCAACATACCTTCAAATTGTCATTGGCTTTGTCCTTCTGAAGCATCTTGAACGCGATGACTATTTTCCTCGTGTCGTCAAGTTTCCACAGCGCTCTGTAGGTTGCTGTCAAGTTGCCATACTTCTCCGAACCTGTAGAATTAACAGTAAACTCATAATTATTTTAACCCGTTAATATTTTAAACACGAAGATTGGATGTTTGTTACCCAACGAAGTAATAATGGATGGATAAATTTTGTAGAACATCTTTGGATTGATTGTTTACTGGATTACCTCAGAGTTAAAATATCATTTTAAATGATCGAATTTCCCACATCATTTCCGAGAAACTCAAAGGTGCGAGCCCGGATTCGAACTCACGGTCTCTGCTTGAGATGCGGTAGGTCAAACCATTAGGCTACCACTACAGTCTAACCAATAATTCCTATAGTGGTCCAACCAACAATTCCGACACGTGCACGGAGCAATTGTGCGGGGTGTGCGGGGCGCGGGATGGAAATTGCCATACAACCGTTCGGGATATAATTCAGAGTTGACGCATTTATGTTAAATATTTCGTGTGAATATTGAAAGTGATTTGTTGGAAAATGGTACATACACGTACTTGTTCAAGACTGCATATCATCATCTCACCTAAATAGAAACTTTCGATATCACCAGTTTCCGCGTGCACAAGAAAGGTGAGTCAAATAATTTTATTTTGTTTGGAGTTCTGTGTAATGTGATTATGTTTTGCTAATATTTTTTAAAATCAACCTGTTTGCTTTTACTCAATGATATTATACTGGTAAACAATAGATCCCTACAGGCAACAGTGACATCAGTCACCATCTTGAAATCAAGTGAATACAACGTCACCGAGACGTGACAAAAATGTGTAATTAAAATTTGCAATTCTCGGTACGAAAATGATCATAAAACTACTGAGGTTACTTCACACACACCACACACACACACACACACACACACCACACACACACACACAGGTAAGTTTGCTTTTGTTTGTTTAGATTGTCGTAAATAAAAATAAATATGAAATAAATTGAAGTATTGGGAGTTAACCTTTTTGAAGTTACTAATTCAAGTTTATTCGTTGTAACGTTTTAACGTAAAGTGTAACCGTAATACTATTAATACGTAATATTATTTGAAATTATATTTTGGTTGTTTCCCAGAATACCTAAAGATTAAACGCGCAGGGCGGAGTGGATAAAAATTAAACAACTTTTACGAAAAGATACATTGAGTAACAAAACACAAGGCAATTTTACAACAAGCTAATAATGCACAGTAGCGTTTGATAATTTGTAATAAACTATAGTTAAATGTTTGTGTATCAAGTAATTTGTAATACCTACCCTTTTGTAAATTTGTTTTCGTTAAATAGAAACAGAAACTATCGGAAGACAGTATTTTTGTCACCTTTATCCAATAAATAAAAAATATTAGAAAGGCAATTTATTCCTTAGATTAGGAAGTCATCTCTTCATATTTACAATTTATTTGAATTTTAATTTCATACATTTTCATGTATATTTCACTCACTCGTTCACTCAATTTCTGATTACTATCTATCTCCACTGTCTCTTTCCACCAGTGAGGCCACAAGAAATAAGGGAAAAATATTTCTAAACCGATAACACTGGTCGCATCCCTCAATGCACTATGATCTTTGACTATGGAAACTAAAGGAGACATGTTATGTTGACATATATAAATCAGACGTTATATGTATATGATGCATTTCGACGTTGAAAACATAAACATGTTATTGTCTTTGTTTAACTCTTGCGTGTCGTCTTAAGCCAAAAGAGATAGCATTACATTGGTCTGTGTCACGCGAATCGAAAATGCGTAACGTCATCCTAAATGCCAACCGTGTCCATTTCCCAGTACATGAGGTACATAATACGGTTGTTAAAGCGAAGTACATCAAATGTCAAAACAAATGTTTTTCCAAGTGCTTTATTGAATTATTCCCATGTATTGTAATAAAATGGACCAAAATATTGACAGTGAGAACAATTAAGTATTAATAAAAATTCGTCGCTGCAGCATTACGGGATGTGGCATTTGCAAAAGCGAAGGTCGACCGAATGTAACATTGTACAGGCACGTGTTAATTTTCTGTCTATAAATCACACAAAAACCCGAATATCTCATGTGATAAAACATATTTAAGTAGTTTATTCGTAAATCTTGCCAAATTTTGCTTTGCTTTCTTCAGATTGCCTATTTGTTTGTATATTTTGATGATTGTTGTTAACAATTATTTTGAGATAGTGTTATTCTTGGAAGCGTACGTACTATCGATATTCTGTTATTAAAATAATTCACTACGAGGTTTTTATTATTATTATTTTTACTATTTTAAGTTTACCTACAAATCAAAAAAGAAAAAATAATGATTGGAAATCATACCGCCGTATAATTGTGCCGAATATAAACATTGTATCAAAGACCATTTTCATTTATTCGCTTCATTTTGAAGAGTCCAATTTTAACATAACTTTGAAAGTAACTAGATTACATGGTAATGCAATTCCATCATTAGGTTTATTGGTAAATAATTTTATATTTAATTTAGATTAAACAAGACTCATTTACTAGGCATTCTCAGTCCCTGAAAACAAAATTATCCACTCGTTTCCGATTTTTTCCCACTGACAACTCTTAACTACTAAAAATTCTTATTTTATAAAGCCAGCAATACAAAGACCATGTTGGTCTAACGTTGCCGGGTGAAGGCCAATACCAACGTATAGACAGCCTATTTGCCTTGCCTTGCCTTGCCATCGTTCGGTGTCACTCGCCTAGCTGACCGAGTGAAGGCGAGCGCTAACGTGTACAGAGCTCGTTTGACGTGGCTTGTCACAACCCGCAATCACGCGTGACTACTTGTTTCACTTCGGAGAAGTGTCGATTTTTCTGCACAAATCGAAGGCGCTCGGCTCGGCAATTGACATTGTATAATCAGACATTTGCATGCTATTTAATATATGCGAAACTTGTTTATACTAACACTGTCCCTTGTTACATCTCCTGTTATACTGTGTTTTAAGCAAATAAACGTATGATAATAATATTATCGATAATATTACTACTTTCATTTATTTCCAAAATTAAATAGAAGTATTAAAGACGGCATGGACGCCACTGTGCGCAAGAGGTGTGCGTCCCTGGTGCGCCGCGTGCGGGCCAGCCCCAACTCCGCTCTCCGTGTCATAGGGGACAGGGATGACTGCCCCTATATTAGGCATTGCTGCGGGTTACATGCTCCCAAGCATGTAATCAGATTTTAATTTAAGTTCAATTTTAATTTTAATTTTATTTCAATATTAATTTTATTTCAATTTTAATTTCATTTTAATTTAAATTCAATTTTAATTTTTAATTTTAAGTTTTACTAACTTTAGATTAAGTTCACATGTATGTACTAACAAGTGAGTCTATTGTTACTCGAAATAAAAAGTTATTATTATTATTATAAAGATTCATTTAAATCAGTCACTGCTATTATTTCTATACCAATGCATAAATACAAAAAACTTACACTATTTGGAATCTGTTTAAAAATTTATCTATGAAAAAATTTATGGATTTATATTTCAAGTTTTCTCTTTTTTATACTCTCAAATTACAAATATTTTTTTTTTCTGTGCAAATTCACTTTTCGTAATATTTGAGTATTTGTAAACGCAAAACAATAAATTCAAAATTTCATGTGGCATTCCCGGATATTCCCATACAACCTAAAATATTCCCAAATTGAATATTGATCCACTTTAACGAATAATGACTTATAGATATATTATGCTACGACACTTAAGCATTCCGCCATTTGTTCGTTCAGTTTTTGTTTAGGTATGCACGTTCATTCCGTAGTTAGGGCAGCTCCTTTCTTTTATTTTTTTTCCATCATCTAAGACTATGACTAGGACTTGAGTATGATTTAAAGCACTGAAAATCATACTCAAGTCCTTGCCATTAGGGTCGTATTTCCAGTGGTTGAAATCATACTCAAATCTGCTCAAGTCCTGACTTGAGCATTGAGTAGAGTTCTGGAATACGGTCCTTCGACTATTTTATTTTGACATAATAAGTTTGACATTAGAAAAAACGAGACAAATATATTTTTCTTTGAAATTTCAATCAGTTTCAAAGCTAGTCTTTAAATATATATATACAACATAGTGATCACAAATTTTAGACAACTGTTTGTAGGACATTGCGTCTTTAGTATTATTTTCGCTCACTGCTTTTACTCATTATCTATTCGACTATTTCAATTAAAATGAATATGGGTATCGTCTTCAGTGTTTTAGTGGATGCTCAAGTCATTACATGCAAATACGACATTTAAATATCTAAATCCTAAATGGCGGACCGGATTTTCTAAATAATATATATTATTTAGGATATTATTTTCGAGGTATTTGGGAGGTGTTCATTGCGAATATATCATTTATTTCTAAATCCAAGAT